AAGAACAAGAATAAAAAATTGAAATATTCGAACAAGTGCATAGAAAGTCAAGGCACTGACCAAATGCAAACAAGTGAGTGAAGAGTGACATTAGAGCTGACAAGCAGAAATGCGTAGAAGAAATATGAAACAACTATATGATACGATGAAGGAACTATCAGGGAAATATAATAAAACAGTGAGACCAGTCAAGGACAAAAAAAACAAGCCAATCACCGAGATTCAGGAACAGATGAACAGATGGGTAAAACAATTCGAAGAACCAAATAAGACAGTTCTATTGAATCCATCGAACATCGAAACCACACACGAAGACCTTCCTGTAGATGTCACTCCACCAACGATAGAATAAATCAGGATTGTTATCAGACAAACCAAGAGTGTGGAAGAAGCGGGATCAGACAAAATGCTAGCTGAAGCACTGAAGTCATACGGAGAAGTAACTTCAAACATGCTCCACATTCCATTCAGGAAGATTTGCGATGAAGAACAAGTGCCGACAGACTGGAAAGTAGGACACCTCAACAAGATACCAAAGAAAGAAGATCTGAGAAAATGTTAGAACTAGAGAAGCATCACATTACTATCAGTAGCATGAAAAGTTTCCAACAGAGTGTTGTTGAACCAGATGAACGATTCAGTAGACGCCCAATTTCGAGATCAACAGGCTGGATTCAGTAGGGATCTATTGTGCACAGACCAAATGGCGACACTACGGATCATCGTTGAATAATCAGTTGAGTTGAACTCATCAATATATATCAATTTCATTCACTATGAGAAGGTATTTGACACTGTGGATGGAAAAAAAATTAGGGAACCTTCTTCAACACTTGAGAAGATCGTCAACATCATACGAAATTCATACAACGGACTACGTAGACGACCTAGCTCTTCTGTAACCTACACATGAAAAAAATGCAAGTCAAGACAAACGGTGTAGTAGACGACTCTGCATAAGTAGGCCTCAACATACACAATGGAAAAAGCAAGACCCTCAAATACTACATGGAGAGCACCAACCGAATCACACTCGATGGAGAAACTCTGGAAAAGGTGGAAACTTTCACGTATATGGTAGCATCATCTATGAATAAAGAGGATGTGATGCAGAAGTAAAGGTAGTGATTGCCAATGCAAGGATAGAATTCCTACAACTGAAGTATATATGGAGCTCAAAACAACTTTCGGCCAGCATCAAAGTGAGAATCTTCAATACGAATGTCAAGACAGTTCTACTGTATGGAGCTGAAACTTGGAGAACTACTACAACCATCATAAAAATGTTCAGTTATTTCTAAACAATTGTGTACGTAAGATACTGAATGTCCGTTGACCAGATACCATCAACAGCAATCTACTGTGGGAGAGAAACAACAAACATCCAGCTGAGTAGGAAATGAAGAAAAGACGTTGGAAGTGGATAGGTCACACATGCAGGAGGTCATCAGACTGCATCATGAGGCAAGCCGTAATTTGGAATCCTGAAGACAAAATGGAGATTGGAAGACCATGGAACATATTTAGTCAGGAATTAGAACCAGACATGAAAAGAATGGATGGGAACTGGAAACCACTGGAAAGGATTGCCAAGAACAGAGTTGGATGGAGAATGCCGATGAGCTGCCTATCTCCTACACGAAGTAGGGTAACAGGCGTAAGTAGGTCATATAAATCCAATTTATACTTCATTAATCCGGGTACGCTTTTCAGCTATAGACCATTTACACATTCCAGCAATTAACCTTGAGCAGTGACTGCTAATCTATTGGTTCAGGACTCTTCTGAACCGGTATCTAGCCAGATGTAGGAACATAACAAACAGACAAATGTTGGATTATTATTTAATCCTTACAGCTCAATAATTCATATCTTTATGTAGATTAATGATGAAGCCACAATACATAACAAATAAGAAATTAAAATTTTTTCAGAATGAAGTCGAATGTGATTAAAAATAGGGGTGAGTAGTAAATAATTACTACGAAGTATAACAATACTTAGTGAGTCCAACGGAAGCTTAGGATACACGGAAAATGGCAATACAGTAATAAACAGTTGTTGCCCTGAGACGCGAAAATGTCTTGATACGACCGATGGTGATATGGTTCGCTCTCTCTCTCTCTCTCGAAATTCTCTCATATGGTCACGCTGTAGCTTATAGTTTTCCTGAGGTTTTGGCAATTTGTTTAAATCCAACTAAAAAATTTTTCACAGATTGAACTCATGAGTCAGTTGAAGCTAGACCACCATTGAAAACCTGGAAGCACTGGACGGCCGTTTCGCCCTAGTATGGGACTCCTCAGCAGTGCGCATCCACGACCCCGCACCACCCGGGGCTCGAACCCAGGACCTACTGGCTTCGCGCGCGAGCACTTAACCATTAGACCACTGAGCCGGCACCCAACGGTGTTAATTCCATTTAATTTTTAATAATTAATTGTGCTATGCTTACACCAGCGGTGACCGTATCTTACGAAAAAACTATGGATGATATACAAGAGATTGAATTGGTCTATGCTCAACTGTATCATTTCAGTCTAAGCAGAGTATGCTTCCATTTTTTATATACGTTATCCTCATCTTCGCTCTATACAACTAGAAATTGTAATCAGTTTCGGGGTTGTGGAGATTGTTAAGTTTCTGATTGAGATCATGAATTGATTGATGTTGGACCACCATTGAAAACCTGGAAGCACAGGACAGCCGTTCCATCCTACTGTGGGACTCCTCAGCAGTGCTCATGCACGATCCCGCTCGCGGGACTCGAACCCAGGACCCTCAGTCTCGCACGCGAACGCTTAACCTACTGGACCACTGAGCCGGCATCTAATAGTGTTAATTTCTAACCTCCCGCAATAGGACGAAACGGGCATCCAGTGCTTCCAGGTTTTCAGTGGTGGTCCAACATCAATCAGTTCATGATCTCAATCGAAATTATACATACTTTATTGAAATGCTTGTTATTTAACTAAACTGTATTGTAAAGTGTTTCCAATTAATTAATTATCATTCACAAGTTGATCTATGTATCTGTGTATGTATGTGTCTATGTATGTATGTACCCTATGTATGTATGTGTAAACAGTAATTACATAATAATTAATTCAAGTTCCATTCTATTCAGATCAATCTCACGCTAAACTATTTTCTCAAATGTTTCACAATGGAAACTCTTTCACATTTAATTTGTATTGAAAAACAAAAGTATGTGTATAGGTTATTGAAATTCCTTTTTCAAATTGATCACACAATAAATCGTTACAGTACAATTTACATTTAAACGTGTTGGTAACAATCATGATTGAACAAATGAATAAGATATGAAAATTTTCAGGGTTTTTTTCATGGGGATGGGGTGAAGGGTGGGAGAGGGAATGTTTATTGAAAACGTTTATAAGATCATTTTAACTATAATTTATTGACAAAATTCGTTTCACTGATTGAAATCATGAGTCAATTGAAGCTAGACCACCATGAAAAAACTGGAAGCACTGAACGGCCGTTTCGTCCTAGTATGGGACTCCTGGAATTCTAGGGAGAAGCAGTTACCAGTGAAGTTCGACCAGGTCTGTTGTGAGATATCGACTCACTGAAGACAATGGTATACGGTGGCGCAACTTAGCGGATTGGTTCAAGTTACACATTACCATCGTTGGATGCCGGTCGGCTCAGTGGTCTAGTTGGTTAAGCGCCAGGCGCGAGACTGATAGGTCCTATGTTCGAATCTCGCGGGGTGCAGGGTCATGGATGCGCACTGCAGAGGAGTCCCATACTAGGAAAAATTGGCCATCTAGTGTTTCCAGGTTTTCCATGGTAGTCTATCTTCAATTGATTCATGATTTCAATCAGTGAAATTTCTAAAATCTCCACAAAACCCCTTCTGATCAAAATTCGTTTGATAAATAGTAGTTTTGTTAGTAAAAGTATCTGAAATTAAATTATTAACTTGGATATTGAAGCTCAATTTAACTGACTTCTGTAAGGTACTCATAAGTTATTAGTATTTCATCACATATTTCTTAGAATTATTGCTGGCATCTGCTCAGATGACTAGGTAAGTAATGGTGAGGTTAGACTCAGGGTATTAGGGAGTGATGATGGTAAATCAGTTCATGTGTTTGTGAATCTACATCTACTGAGATGGTCGGACCACGTTTTATGTATACCTGAACACCGATTGCCACAACGCCGAATGCTGATTAGTGTTGGAGACAATTGGAAGAAAGTCAGGGGCGGCCAGTGCTTGAAGTCACTAAGTTTGATCTGAGTCATGTTGGTAGATGCAAGCCACTTGGTTGAGGTCCGTGTGACAGTTATAACCAATGCTTGGAGACTCTGAGTGACATGCTTCAGAGTCGATCACAATGGCACAGGTGTATACACTCTTTACCTTCTCTTAAACCGTGGGGTTAAAATCATTTTATACCTTTCTTTCTACGAACTAATTATTCCTCCCTGTATTATATCCTTATATGCAATCTTTGTTTTTATATATTACTACCATTGAAATGATTGCTTCTATGAACACAAAAATCTTGACTGAATATCATTATACCCATCACTAGACTTGACTATCTTAAATTGAATCTCATATGATCTCATAGATGTGTAGAAATTTGTTCAGAGCTTTATGGTTTTCAGTGGTTATTCAATTAATCTGTATGTTCATGGGAAAACTATCGTCAAATTTACCGTCTTTTTTTTACATGTTATGCAACATTTAATGGTGATTTCAGTTTGTATAAGGTCAGCTTGAGATGTACCAGTCTAACCGCCCCCCCCCCGAAAAAACATAATCCATACCCATTATTGATGAAAACAAGTGTCCAACTCCACAGTGTTGTATAGAAACGTCATTCGACAAACACTGACAAACGTATAGCTCACAACATAAGTATGATCATCTTTCTTAATGAATTATGTACACATAATATAAATGAATAAATAGAAAAAAAACACAAACAAGTAAATAAATGTGAATAAATTTCAACACTTACCAGATACAGATTTTAATCCTGATCTTTCAAAACTGGACGCTTTAAATTGATTGCATATGTTTGATTTGTTTGAATGATTAGGGCTAATACCGACTGGAGCACTTTTGGGCTCAGATAACGAGTTCTGTTGTTGTGATTGTAGTTCATCTGTTGTTGTTGTTGTTGAATCGCATACAACATCACTAGAAGTATTCTGTTGTCTATGTTGTTGTTGCTGTTGTTTAATATTCAAGATTAATGATCCTGTTACAGACGTGGTTGTAGGTGAGGTTGCGGTCACTGCTGTTATTGACGTTGTTGTTGTTATTATTCTTGTCGATGATAATGATGATATTGGAGTAGTAAGTGTTTTCTGTTGTAATTTATTACTTCGGGTTACAGATGAGTTATTATTATTATTACACGGATTACTGATATCACTATTCACTGTATAATTATTAATATTTTGATAATCATATGACTTTTTATGAGATTGACTTAATTTTTGAGTTTTTACTTTTATATCCACTAAATTATTTGCTCGTGGTATAGACTGACGAATACTACTAGTTTGATATTGTGGTGATAATGGTTTTGTACTAGTTATTGAACTTGGTGAAGTTGTTAATGAACCATTGAATGATGATGTAGTTATTGAAATAGATGAAGGAAAACGTAATGATGTAACACTAAAATATAATAAATTAAATGATTCATTTAAAAGTGGTTGTTAACGGCGGTTTTTCCTTGTTTTAAAAATTCATTTGTTTTTCAATATTAATAATAATAATAATAATCACGAAAAGAAAAAAAATTTTTTTTCCGAAGTGAAAAACAAAAAAAATTTTTTTTAATGGTTCTGTTGTCAGGATATTTAATTGATCCTTTGTGTGAAAGTGTTACAAACTCTTGGATTAGTTTCACTGTAATTAAAGTGAGATGATAAACATTGGTATAAATATATATATATATATATAGAGAGAGAGAGAGAGGGGGGAGAGGTGGTGGTGGGTTGTGGGCGTGCCAGACTAAAAATAATTTTATAACCGAGTATTATAATCAATATGACAATATCTAATCATTGATTGGTCAATCAATTATCATTAATTTGATTGGTTTAAATTTGTTGTTATCGTTATTATTCTAGACTTGTAAAATAAATTAATTTTAGTCTACTCTATTATTTGAATAAAACAAAATTTCACAGATTGAAATCATAAGTCAATTGAAACTAGATCACCATGGAAAACTTGAAAGCACTGGATGTCCGTTTCGTCCTAGAATGGGACTCCTCATCAGTACTCATCCACGATCCTGCCACCCGCGAAATTTGAACACAGGACCTATCATTCTCGCGCCAGGCGCTTAACCAACTAGACCACTTAGCCGGCCAGCATCCAACTGTGTTAATGTGTAATTTCAACCAATCCACGAAGTTACACCACCGTACACCATTGTCTTCAGTGAGTTGATATCTCAAAACAGACCTAATTGAACTCCACTGGTGACTACTTCTCAATAGAACTCCAGGATATACTTCACGAAGCCAGTCACTTGTGAGCATATGTTGACTAATATCAGATAGGTTTTATGTATATCATAGTAATTTCAATGGTTAGGATCATGAGTCATTTGAAGCTAGAAACCAGTAGGTTCTGGGTTCGAATCTCTTGAGTCGAGGTCGTGGATGCGCACTGCTGAGGAGTTCTATACTAGGAAAAAACGGCCGTCCAGTGCTTTCAGGTTTTCCATGGTGATCTAGCTTCAATTGACTCATGATTTCAATCAGCGAAATTTCTAAAATCTCCACAAACCACTTCTGATAAAACAGAATTGTCATAAAAATAGATTATTTTTTTCAAGTTTATTAGAATTCATAAAAAAATAATAAAAAAAACTTTTTTTTCTCATTTCTTATTAAAATAAACAGTTAAACAGAGAATATAAGTAAAGATAGATGGTAACTAACATTGAAATCTATGACATGAGTTACGTATTCTTTTTAAGACTTATCAACTGAATGTACCTACATCTCAGAGTTGATACTTTACTTTGGGACTTAAACTTAATACTGTTAGTTTCAAATGTTATCACATTATTCACTTAGTTAGAGAGTTCTAATAAGGTAAGAAGACGTCTATAATAATTGTTGTTATTATATTCCGGGATTTATTAATTATAAGAAAGTAGTTTCTTTAAATGTTCAACTTAATCATAAAGAAGAACAGTTTCCAGAGACTGTATCAACTTTCATTGATTTTCAAGATAACAGTATACTTCCTGGAGTACTATCAAATATAAAATACTGAATGTCAGATTTTTATGTGAAAAGTTGAAATGCATAACGGATAGCTCGTAACTTGTTGAAAACTAAGTCGTTGATAATCAAAACGTTGTTACTAAGACTGGTTAGTGAAAGAAATTGTGAGATCAATGACATTGAGCAAATTCCAAGATTTTTTGTTCAAGGTTGAAGGTACTGGATTCTATTCTCAATGGTTGGGTCGTGAGTACGCATTAGTGAGAAGTTATATATTAGAACAAAGCAAAAGTAAGGTTATAATTTATGGATGAATCAATCAGGTATAAGATAACAAGTCTCGGATTATGGTGTGAAATTCATTCATCCATTTGACTGAGTCTTGGCAATATAGCCGATGTCAGCTCTTGATAAAAACACGAAATCTTATTCCTAACCTTAACCATCAACTGTAAATCATAATTCTAATTCATCTTGCTTGTTTATAACCCTCATTTGATCCTAGTTATCAGATGGACACTCCCAATCTCTCAGTCTAGCGTCGCTCAAATGTCGTCCATAAATTACAGTCTCACCAAAACAACTGTACAATGCTTACCGGCGCTCAATGGTGGTCCAAGATCAGTTTGTAACTTAAAAACTACTGAAATCCTAAGATGACAAAGGAAAAATGAATAGTTTGAAATGAAAAGGCAGATAAAATTATGATATACGTGTTATTTAAACATAATTTATTGAGTTTTCGTGGTAATTTTCATAACTGTTTATTAATACGGTTATCGGACATCCATCCCCTCTTTTAACCCTGAATCCTGACCCTAATCATCAATTCTAACCCTAACTTAAAACCCAAAAGTCTAGTTTTCACGTTAGTCATTTTCGGGTTTTTGTACAACATATTATTAATATATATATATCACTTGCATCCCGACAAACCTAAAAACGTTTACCACTTTTCAGGGTCATTTTAAGGATCACTGACATTTGTCAGTAAAGCATAATTTCAAAATGCCAAGTGTCAGCTCATTTATGAAGACTATCAGGAGAATAGTGATATGATAATCTAGAGTCCACCAACCTAAATCCTTACATATTACGTTCCTTTTCGTTATTTAAGTTATTAAATCTACCTCAGTAGTTGGAAATTCTAGTAAATATTATTTAAGCAAACCTAGCCATTATATATATTGCCAAGCTGAATTAAAAGGATAGCTATGTAGTACTGTAGTGAAGGAGAACACAGGTGAGGACAACCGAATTATTTTTAGCCCGAATTACAGAGTTACTTGGTAAAATAGAAAAAACCATACTACAATACTTAGTTTGCAAAATGTTCAATAATTGTCTCGAACTTCGTTGTTCTTGCATTTCCATATTAATTGCTTTCTATTCCCATTCTTCCTTCCTTGATCTTCCCCCATCTTCTGCTGCCAGACATTACATTCCTGACTCGCGCCATATACTACTTATATCAATATAAGTAGCACGCACCACAGTACTATTAAGTAAGGTTACTTAAATGTAGTGTGAAGAATACACGACAAAATGTGTTTAAAATGTTAAAAATATCATGTTCAAGTACGTAAAAAAATAGAAACAATCAATTCTTAAAAGTAGTATTTTAAATCTATCGAATCATTATGAATAGTATCTGAGTCGACTAATTGATTGAACCTGAGATTTAATGACAGTAAAATCTTGCGTGTTAGATTATTCACGAAGTATTATATCAAATTTGTACAGTGATCTTGATAAGTAAACTATGGTTAGTGATAATAGTAATAATAAGTCCCTAATATTGGAAACATGAGTTACGTCACACCGCATCTGACCAACAAACTAATATGGTGTTTATGGGACAAGATGATAAATATTAGTCAGTATGAAATATTAAGGGATTTGTACAAAGAATGTTACTAAGGTAAGTTCTAAGAGAATAAAGAGTGATTGAATTGGGTTTTAAGATAACAATCTCTACATAAAATATTGGAAGTAATTTATTACTTTAACTAAAAAACCCGTAAAAACAATTTGGAGAGCTGTTTTATTCTAGATAAGATTCCTCACCAGTTTGAATGTGTCAAGTGTAAGGTAGTCACATATCAATGATATTAGAAGATGATTTGGCAATATCACGAATTCACTGGAGTTAAAAATGTAAAATATTCGTTATTAACTTAGTGATCTAAAGGTTAAACATTTACCACTAGATCAAAATGTAATGGATTTGATCATCGGCAGTATTGTGGATGAATGCTTCATAGACATTCCACGCTACGACTAAACAATAATCTATAAATCACTGGACATAAATACCAAGGATTTTGAAGTTTGATATTTGGAATAAAACTTAAAAGCAACAGGTTATATTGTGAAACATTTTATTAAGCTAAAAGTCTTACAATAAGATAATCCAAGTATTTATTCCATGCTTAAACCTTCAGTAATCAAAAAGAGTCTTGAAATTAATAATTTCATAAAAACATTTAACTTGAGAACACCATACAGTGAATATATAACACTCGATGATGAGGAATAAAACATTTCATAGACTACCGTCTCCTTACGGAATCATAGGGATTTATTGGTTTTAAAAAGAGTATTACGTAATACACTTCTTTCTAAGTAATCGTGAATGAGCTTCTTCCATATAGGTCCTTCCTAACTCTGCTAATTCAATATTCTAATGTAGAGAGTCATCACCTTTGAAACCAATTAAGATGAAATTAAAGATGTTTCCTAGTTAAAATGAATCATTATCTTCCTGTCATATTTCAGCTAAACTACAATATGAGAGGTACAGACACAATTGATCATAGCTAATAACTATATAATGGTCTACTCATCATCCAGCTTGAATATCCTCCAGCCTCTGATCCATCTCTAGTTTATGAATGTACTCAGCTGAGCATGAGGCCAAAGTTCTACAATCGTTCATTGCAATTTACTCTGAAGAAACCATCCTTTATATGTTCGAGACTAGATTTAAAGTAAAATTGATGAGTTTTCAGTTAGTTCTTAGTTAGCGTTTTTAGTTGAATAGTTTTGATGGCAAACATAACATCAGTGATTGTAAAGGGCAAGCAGATTTCACATATAGAATGAATCCTACCAAACATCTGTAAAGGTTACTTTGTCGGTAAATCTAAATTTGTCATTATAAATATAGATTATCTGACTACTCAAACACTTATGCGTTTAAGGTTTAAGAGTAGTGTCAATTTATTTGTTATATACAGTTTGTTTAGCAGGAATAGATGACTCAATACGTTTACAACTATCATTTTTACTCTATCGCGCCCTATTAATATATATAACGTAATGATATCACCAATTAGAGAACAGTGATTAATCGACCGGATCAGTGAAGCATAAAACATATACGAGCAAACTAGAGTCTTTATCGGTCATTCTTCTCGCCTAGACCTG